TTTTATATTATTGCAAAAAGATCAGGCTCATGAATAGATTAAGCAGCCCAGTTTCATTTTCATAAGTAGACGAAGAATAATTAGGCAGAAATATACCATATTTCTATTAGGAAATTAATCATTCCTGAATAACAGAATGATTATTTCATATTTCAACTATTTATACAACTTCAAAGACTTATTTAGATTTACTAGAAATAATTCCACAGAAGAAAATTTGTCACTTCCTGAGTATCTGCACTCGCATTGAAAAGTTGCAAAAAAGGAGCAAGAAGTAATGTTGCCAAATTAGTTATGTGACACCCTATTACCGTATAAAAAGTATTCATGTGACAACCCAGGTATGCATGTAGCACTCATCTGTTTAAGTAGATGGGATGTACATTTACTCAAAAATTTATTCAAAGAACCAGTTCACTTTACTGAGTTAGCAGACAGTGATCCCCAAAACAGAGAGATAGCTCCTTCGACAGCTCTTGTAGAATTATGCAGGAAAGTTCAATTTCCGTTTTAGAGAAGAAAGAATGTTTAAAGGGGATGAGTTTAATTTTCATAATTTCTTAAATATTTTTTATTCCAGGATTTTATTGTTAGTTCTATGTAAAAAACAGGTTTTAGGAATCTCAAAACTACTATTGAAAGAAATTAATCCAAGGAGTTAGAGACTGGATTCTCTCGACACACTGCTCTTGATTCACTTCCTGTTCCTGATTTTCTCCGTCAAGTTTATTGTTAGTGGGCACTGAGTTATAAAAAAGAATTGATTGATTTCAGCTTTTATCTGATGTTAAAGAGCAGTTTTACTTACTTCTGTTAAGTATACATGGATCTGCACTTAAGAAATTCAGTCATCACATATTTTTATCAGTGTTTCTTTTTGCACTGATATATTTGTTTTTCTCATAATGAATTGTAATGACATTGCAGAATTTGGCAGCTGATGGGAAAAAAAGCATTGCATTCCTGCAGAAATATGGCATTTTGCTCTGCAATAAAGCATGCAAAAATTTGCACTTGGTAAAGTTGTACTTTTTAAGTGACTGAATTTTATGAAAATGCAATAAGAAAAATTTGGAAGTTGGTTTGAAGAAATATATACTTTATTTATTATTGGCTGGTGCAGAATGCCAAATTTGTGCAATTCTCTGACTTTTTTTTTTAGCAAAAGCAAATTATTGTGTATATGTAGAACACAACAACACACAGTGGCATAACTAGAAGAGGCAGTTTGCCCTGAGCAACCTTTTCAATGTGCAACATTGTTTTATAAGAGTTGGTTAGGTGGATTTTCAAGGCAGATGAAAAATAATTAGGTTCTAAACTGCCATACAGAATTGAATTGAAAAGAAAAGTAAGATAACATATGGTAACAACTATAGATAACATATGCAAAGAAATCACATCATTATTTCAATAGCTACATACATTTCTTTTATTTAGTTTATTCCACTGAAACATTTGAGTGCATATTATGAATATCACCTACATTATGATCATGGTGACATAAGGAAGAATTCCTCATTAAGAAAGATGTATTTCAAAGTTTTACTTCTGTTGTTGCTATGGGAATCAAAAGAGGAACATGGATGGGCATTTCCCTATATTTTACTCCAAAATAAAATCTCCAGAACAAAGTTTCAAATATTGTAATATTGGGACAAATTTTCCTCTCAATTGCTGCAAGTTGTGAGAAGAATTTTTCAAATAAAAATCATTTGGGAAACATTTAAGATAAATATGTATCTTGCATTTAAGAAATATTGCTTTACTGTCTACATAATAGCAAGAGTAATCAAATAGATCTCTACAATGTCATAAATGGTTCTGTGAACAAACAAACAAAATAATATTTTTAAAATGTTACAATTAAAGTTTTTCATCGAAAACAAATGTCAAGTTTTAATTTATTTTCCTCCATGTACATGAAAAGGGTTGGCAAAATCAAGTACCGCCTCAGGCTGCAAACTTGGGGTTCACCCTGGGCGGCAAAAGATCAAGCAACATCACTACCCCTCCCAAAAAAATACAGAAGACTTTCTTAAAAAATGTAAGGGTTTAATTATCAATGTCTTTTCCTATTTTCATTAACTGACGTTTTATGGAACTGTTAGTGTGCCACCATTTGAAAATGGCTCTCGTATTTCATGCATTAGCTTAGAGCAAAAATTAATCAGCAATCAGCTTGCAACTTGTTTTTGTTATTTAATCTTCAAATAAATTCTATTTTATCTTTTCATAATTTTCTTACAAAAGTATTCAAAAAATAATAACTGCATAATGAGAATACAGCATTAATTATTGAATATAAACCTACATGAAACCATTTATAATCAAAAAGCAATGCAAAATGCTGTATCAATAACTTGGATAAAACTGCAGAAAATGCTTCTGGAGTAACAAACAGAATATAATTACAGAATCAAGAAAATTGTCAACCATACTCAATACATAATAAATACTTAATACCATTATTTTAAATGTACTGTACTACACAAAAGTATTGTAAATAACAATAGAGTACATCCACAAATTATAAAAACACTGTAACACTTAGATGCTAAATACAATAATATCAGTTGTTAAATAGATAATTTAACTTGCATAAAGGATTGTACCTTAAATATGGCATGTAAAAATACAAAATAATTATACACTAACCTTATATATTGCACATATTTTCAAGAAACACTAAAACTGAATCACTTTGCTAATTGAAAGAAATGGTATCCAGAAATTCTCCCTTTTGAAGAAATTTATCAAAATGATCAATATAATTAACACAGCTGGTGAAAATTTTAAAAGAATATTCACTTATTTTAGAAAACAATGCTAGCATAAAAATACATAACATTTAAGAGAACATTCACTTAAATTTTAGAAACAATGCTAATAAATCACAGAACAACATTTTCCTTAAATGCATATAATTAACTATATGCAAGATAAAATGCAATTTACGGAATAATACACGATATTAATACTACAGCATAAATAGTATCATACACATCAATGGCACTTACTCATTGCTAGATATAGTTAAGTTAAGATTCTTACATATGTATAAAACAGCAACAGATGCTACATATACTAGAAGTGGTAATGAATATCATTACATACTAAAATTTATTACTATATAAATCACTGAATTTTTTAATAACTGCATTTTTATCACATTTAGTGTATAATAAAAAATATGGTACTTGTATATTACCTGGCACAAGAAACTTCCCTTGACCGATCTAAGTATCAGGAACTAGATTTATAACTAGACAGGGAGCTAACTGTTCTATTCTGTGATAGTCTTATTTATTATATCTGATTATTCCTGGCAAAATTTGCTTTACATTACCTGCTTGCACCAACAATACATAAATCATATGACTTTTAATACTATTCAGCTCCTATCAGTCAGCGGCAATTAAGGAGTAAAATTGCTGAACACTGATAATTCAAGACAGGCTCAAATGTGCTGGCTGCATGGAGTTTTTAAAGGTTTTCCATACATGCAATGTGAATACAAGCAAGCTTTCCTTAATAAAACCTCCACAAGAGGCACCCCTTCTTAAGACAAAAAGGTCCTTGTGTGTTTTGCCTTAATAATCTAATTCCAGCTTCTTTTCAAACCAATTTCCTACCAATACTTTTCAGTATTGCAATCCATAACATTTTCTTTTATCACATATAGTTTTACTGCGTGTGAAATAAAACATTCTCAGTTTTTAAAAGTATTCTGCTATTCTGAAAAAAGCAAATAAGAAAAACATCAAAACTAAGAAAAAAAAAAACCACTTAAAAGCTTTCAGATTTTACATTAGGCCCAAAGAGGCTTTTATTTTAACATTTTGTGTGTTACCTTTATTTATTAAATGTCATATTTTTTGCACTTAAACCATAAAATTAAATTCATTAAATTCAACAGCAGTATCACAAAATAATTTTAAAATGGGCATTTAGAATTTCCGATACAGAGTCTTGCATGTTGGAGATAAAATTTTTTTTTTCATGCAGTGTTGCCATACCTTGCTTTGAAATAATTGAGTTTGTTAATAAAAAATTCTTTAATGTCTCACAAACTATGAGATAGCTAATAAAACAAATTACAAATTAGGGCTTCCAGATGCCCATAATAGGCGGAGGATTACATTATTCAAAATTTGATGGCTCTAGGTATCGTTGCTTTATCACAATGCGAGAAACATTTATGAAGATTCTTCTTTATTTAATTTCTTTAAATATAATACAGGGCTGTAATATTTGGTGGCAACAGTTTGAAAAGTAAGTCAATGAAAAATGCCAAAATGAAATTAATAACCCTTCTGGGATAATGCCCTTTGAGCTAAAAATACAACTGAACAAATAATTAAAAATGGTGGAGGTTGAAGCATGGCTGCAACAGGAAGGCAGATATTTAAAAGCAAGCTATTGTTATATCTTGGAACAATATTGTATTGGTAGCAGTTAATACACAAGTACCCAAAAGATAAATGACATAGGCATCACTTAATAACAACCTGAAAAATATGAATAGATTTTATAGAAGTAAAATGTTTTCACAACACACAGAATTTTCAAAAAATATATTTCTAAATATTAATTCATGTCTACAATTGAAAACACAGTTTTGAAGGTTTATTAACTAATTAGTGACAAATACTTCTCCTTTAAAAATGCTTTCATCTTCATGTCACAAAAATTGCTTCAATAAAATTTATCACAGACCACAAAGAACAAGTTTAATTACAATAATGCGTTAACTAATCCAGTAAATCTTTTATTACTATAACATTTTTTAGATTTCCTAAACAATGACATCTAATAAATCTAATGGAAAAAATTTTAATTTTAAACATAAGAAAAAGGTGCTTACATGTTAGCACAATCACCTTAGCAGATGTCACCAAATTTTCAGAATGTGTCAAACTCTGGAAACTGTGGGCATAATATTCTTCAAACAACCATTCTCGTAACAATCCTTCAGTCAAGCAAATTTGCCATTTTCGTTTTTTTTTTTTATTTATTATTTTTTTGTAGTATCACATTTTCTAGAAGCTTTTATTGACAAACTGTGATATTATTTGCCTTAAACTAGGCAGTGCTGAATTTGCCAACAGTGGCAGAAATGTTATCGAATGTTAAAATGTCTGCAGGAACACTGAATTTGGCAGCACAATCTCTAAAGGTAACAATGAGGAGATGCATTTGGTAGACAGCTGGAGTTAGTGAGGTTTGAAGCTCTACTGTTTTTTTAATTGAAAACAGATCACTGTATACGCGAGGAAAAGAACAGAAAGATTTAGAGATAAATGTAAGAGTTAATGAATGTAAGTGATTAACGTTTTAATGTATCATGTAACCTTTATTTAACAACTAAAATTTGTAGTTTAATTAATAAACTATTTTTACTTTTCATAAGTTGATAATGTTTGCCAACTTATATATAGAAAGTTTGGGAATCTTTTTAAAAAGTCATGAAACCCAACAACTTGAACCTGGTAAGTAAACTTTACTCTTTTTATAGAATTTCCAAATTATGACAAGGTAAGTTGCATTAATATGTAAGTACTGAAAAAAATACACATTTAAATTAATATTAATACTGCAAAAGATGTATTGAGAGCTAAAACAAACAGACATAACTTAAAAATACTTTAAAATTTGTAAAATTTTTTGAAAGAAAGCTTAATAAAATGTGTTTGATATGCACAAAATATTTTCAGCTCCTAAAGAACTTCTGACACAATACAGTAAACCCTTTCTACGATGACCACCCACTGCTGTAGATAATTTTAGTCTTTAATAAGGTGGTCATTTTAAATATGTCGACTATAAGTGTTGAAGTCATTAATTTGATTTATGAATTTACCTTACTGCCATTACAGTCTGTAAAAAGTACTAAAGCATGGCACACTGGGGGGGGGATCTCTCTGATTTTAGCTGATTTGGCTGGGTTACTAGAACCATTTCCTAAAATATTTTTCATGTGATGAACGAGTAAAATTGAATTGTTATTTACACAATTTATTGTCTGCTTAGTAACTAATTTTATCATTTATATATTTATTCAAGAAACCAGTTATTAAAATTCTGAATCTCATCCCTGGATATGAATGTTATTTTAAATATTAAAAAGAAATTTTATGTATAAAAGAAATACTGCAAAAATATTATATTATGAAATCATTTCATACTTTGAACTATTCAAATGTATCTACCAAAAATTGTTTCTTTATCAGTCCATCAATATTTTGTAGAGAATCAATAGTGTTTCTAGAACAATCATCAAGTGACAGCAATAATTAAGTTTAAATTATTTGATAATCTTAATATACAAAGGTTGTAATTTACTAATTGCGTTAACTGGAAAAAAGACATCAACAAACTTAACTTCTCCTAATGGCATGGTGCAAAGTCAGATTAACAATACTTTTCCTTCAAATTTTGAATTAAATTTTTTAATAGAGTCTACAAAAATTACGTCCAAGAGCCAGGATTTCCTATTCGCAATATTAATAAATATTTTGGTGACAATGAACTATAACTGTTTTCTTAACCAAACATTTATATACAGCATTAGACTTCCTTAGCTTTAAATACAGTTTAGAACTGCCTGATAATAATTATTTAATAAAAATAAAACTGAAATCAATAAATAGAAAATGAAGTTAATTAATAAAGATATTTTAAGGGAAATATTAAATCAGAAATAATACCTAATGACTTTGAAATGACTTACAGTATAATTTTCATCATAAATTTAAATTTATTTATACTTGCTGTACCCCAAAATATTTTAAATAGAGATTGTTTTTCATAAATTTCCTTTAAAAATAATTCAAAAATTTGTATTGCATTATATATAGTATATAAAAGCATCTAGTAATATCAAAACAAAAAGTATTTAAAGGTCTCTTTCTAATAATGTGCAATTACTGAAATATTCAAAAATAAAAGAATAAAAATTGACAAATTTATAACATGACACTTATTTAGGTTATTAACCAGTTAACAACCTATCTCGATGAAATATTTGTTTCATACAAAAACATTTTATATAACTGTGTTAAGCACATACTTTTAGATAGGTAAAAAAAACATGTTTCGAAAAACAAAAATGCATTCATGATTTTAATAAGCTTTCTCAATATGAAACAGTTTCTTCTATTATTATACAAATAACAGCAAAGAAAAGTGCAAATTATTGACAAGAATATTAAAAGGAAAAATAAAGAATAATCTAAATTTAAAGAACATCTATATTAAAATTTGATATAACTGGTAATTTCATATTCACATGAAGCCTACGTTAATTTTTGAAAGGAAAATTCTCAAACTGTGTAATGATATAGTTACATTAATTTTACTTCATGAAAAAATGACTGAGAACAAGCTACTTACTTTGTACCTAATATAAAGAAATGGTTTCTACCAATTGGCACTTAGCTTGTGATGCCTTTTTACAAAAAGGACTTTTGACTTCAATTATAAATTTATAATAAAAGTAACTGAGGAACAAAAGCTGTATGTAACATTCACAAAATATTTAATAATTATAATATACTACTAGAGTTCTTGAATCACAGTGTAATTAAAGGCATAATTTATATGGCTTTGATTGATTAGTACTTCATCACCCATAAAAATGATTAAAATAATAACTTACATAATTTTAGAAAACTAATGGATACCATAAATTTCAGCTGCCTTAATATACGTAATTTTGCATTATTTCTTATAAGAGATAGTTGTTAATGGGTAATCTTCACATGTACTCATTTTTTGAAAGGCTAAGAGGATAAAATGTGAAAACGTAATCAAATGTACTATAATTATTGACAGTCTATTTAAAAAAATATAACAATATAAGATTCATACATTCATAAAAACATCACTAGTGCTACATATAGAAAAACAAAAAGCACCATATCATAAATGCATTGCATTGTATTACAAAAATAGATCTCTCTGTGTATAAATCTATACGTGCAAGGCCAGCTTACATTAAAAAATATAATATGTAAAAATATTACTCATATGAATATATATATTTTACAGCAAGTTTCTATGGTTTAACTGCTGTTCGATAATATCTCTTCGTCCGAGCCAAGTTGACAGCAGAATGGAAATCATGCAAAGTAAATGGTGAACTCAAGAGGGACTCATATGGATATTTACCAACTGTAGCAGACAGGAATTCAACTGCTCTCTGCAGATGAATATCTTTATAACCTTGGATGCCTGAACAGTAAAAAAGTTTTAAAATAAAATCCACTACATAAAAATGGATGGAAGAAGAAAGAAAGCTTAAAATGATAATAGAAACTATTTTCTCAAACTTATATATATTACATGAACAATTAGTAAAATTCTAAAGAACTGAAATTTCACATTACCTGGGATAAAACAATACATGCAATATGTTATTTTTCTTACAGTTCATAAACACTTTGAATATTTAACAACTGCAGAGAAAAACCAACATAAAATTTCTCATGTCAATGGCTTAAACACTGTTATCTCCCTCCTTGAAACTTATATACCTAGCAGCTGAAAAATGCTAAACTTGCTGTTAACTTCATATTGAAGCAACTATGGAACATGGAAACGTAATAGAATGATGGGAAAACTAAAACACTAAAAAAATTTTAAATGATCATATCTGTTCCCAAATTTATTTCTTGGTAGTGCTAAAACTATTATTTTATGTTAGTTATTATGTTATGGTTGTTATTAATTTTATGTTATAGTTATCACAAACATCACAATTACAGAACAAAAGTTTATAAAAAGATATTAGCTTTTTTTTTTTTTTTTTTTTTTTTACTTAAAACCATATGAGTTAGATGTATAAATTATCTCAATAAAAGCTATTAAAAATATAAGAAATGTATATTGAGAAATATTTATATTGTTTTTCAAATAACTCAGTTAAGAACTACACTGCTATGACAGAAAAATAAATTTTATCAATGCCTAAAAGTAATAACTTCTAGACATTGATTCACATTTCACCAGAATATGCTGATGTTATAAATAAAAGATTTTATGCTTCAAGGAATAGCAACATAGGTCAGGTCATGTGAATGATAAATGTCCATAACATACACAAAATGTGATAAGAAATGAAAGACTTCACTATGTTTCCAATGCCAATTACTGATTTTTAATGAGTTCACAGCGTCATTTGAGCTCCTTAACTAGTACATTATGATCAAGATAGGCAAACTGCAGAACATGAATTAGATTCCAGGACATGTGTTCTCAACCTAAAAGCAATTTCATAGTTCAGGAGGGAATGCAGTCAGCTTTTATTTACCTGTTACGGATTTTAGTTTATTAATATTAATAACTACTTTTATTCAAGTTTTGGTATTTATCAACATTTTCTATACTTTTATTGTTTAACTTTTAAAACACATCTAACTTTAAATAAATGTATACGGATTTCACGAATTTTTTAGGGGGGTGATCAACTAGCAATGGTGAAAGCGGTGTATGGAGCTAAAAAGGTAAAGAACTATTGTTCTAATATTATACTACTACATGGTTATAAAATAAAGTTATACTACAAAACTGAATGCAATCTGTCATTTACAGTTTTTCTCTCACTGCAAAGAATTTAAAAAGTATGGTTCAGGAAAACTAGAATTTCTGTCAAAAAATGGGACTGTCTTCAGGGAAGGGAGGAAGGAAGATAAAGGGAACTTTATTAAAAAATCATCCATAAAGTTTCTTATTACATAGTATTTTATAAATACCAGCAGGAAGATGGGGAAAATTTAAAAGGTGGTGATTGTGACTTACAAAATATCAATTTGATTAACTTCATATCTTTATGACCATACTGCAAATAATATGCTACATTTAAATGTTGTATTGATTTTTAATAAGAAAATCCTTGCATATTCCTTGTAAAATTATGCTTCCTGTTACAATGCTCAACATACTAGCTACCATTAAATAAGATATCAGGTAATGAAATAAATATACCAGGCAGTATATCAGGCCTGCGTGACTGATCAGTTTTACAGCCAGATTAATCCAAATGGTATTCTTTTACCTTACAAAAAAGAGGAAGAAGAATAACATACCTAGTTTTCTCACTATTCTGGTAGTTTAAAAAGCATTTTAAAATTTTCTACATCTTAATACTGCAATATATTCATTTAAATTCTAAATCTTGCAGTGTTTTACAAACTATTCAATCCTATATAACATTATTTAATAATTAAAAGTAAATTTTAATTAAATTCTAACATCATATATTTAGATCAAATACTAAATATTAATAAGCATTTCAAAACACAAAAATTCTTCCTATACAAGATTATTTCTAAACATAACAATATCCGTGCATGTTTAATTAACATATAATTATCATAACTCTCTGAAATTTAATTCAAGCTTAATAAATTTGATATTGCTTTAATTCTAGGAAATGATTTTTCCGAAAATAAGACACTGTCTTACTTTCTTTTTTGGTCCAAAATACGCGCTAGGGCTTATTTTCGGGGAAGGGCAAAAATAAAAATATATTTATATATTTTTATTTAATATTTATTTTACACAGAATACAGAAATTTAAATTTATTCAATTACAGTCATGTCATCTTCTTCTGGAACATCGTCATAAATAAAATTCTGAATTATATTCTGATTCCAAATCCATTTCCTGTTGAATCATTGGTTCGAATCTCTCATGTCTTGCGATGTAGCTATCGTTAAATGAATACTTCTTGTCTAAGTAGCCTGTTCGTAGTGCATTCAAATCCCTTTGTTCATTAATAGAAAGGGAGAAAGCTGTTGTGGATCTCATAAGATATGTTGAGGGGGTAGCTAGTTGAAGAAAGTGTTCCCATCCTTTACTTTCCTGAAACAGCCCCGCTGTGATCCTAATGCGACACCACTGAGACGATAAGTAACCCATGAATCACCCCTTTTGATTTTCGACTCATTCTGTAGGGGTTGGAAAAAGGTTGCTGCGTCGTATGTGTCTCGGGCGTTATGGTTCAGCCCAAATTTCACCCCGACGAGAGTCTGCCGACGCTAACGGATGACGATGCCCTTCTTGTGAACATATCTCTCTCGGGGCAAACGGTGAACTGGTTAAGATAAATTCCAAGAATTAATTTGAAACGAACTGTAGAGGTAAACAATTTATTTCTCGGAATATTTTGTTTCAAACTTTCTCTTACTTAAATACGAGTATTAGGAAAGCTAAACATATTATTACTTAATAAATCAACAGCATTTTTTAACGAATTCTTTTTGTCACATTATTTTAACTAGGGATTATTTTCGGGGGATGTCTTATTTTATAAAAAGTTCCGAAAATCACGATAGGGCTTATTTTCAGAGGATGTCTTATTTTACAAAAAGTTCCCAAAATCACGATAGGGCTTTTTTTCGGAGGATGTCTTATTTTCAGAAAAAGACGGTATTATTAAATATAGAGTACACAGCATGAAATTCATCGGACAATTACTTCACAAAATATATTCATAATATAAAACATTACAGAAATTACCCCTGATAGTTATGCACTTTTTCACTATTATATCCATGCTTATCCTTTTGCTTTCTGAATGAGAAGTGCCCACAAAGAGATAAATTCCTCGATGTCTAAGTGCATGGGAAGCATATGGAATTACATCCCAGTACCCACAAACATCAATAATTACATCTGCTATCCCTTCTTCATCTTGGCAGCCGCTAACATCTAAAAATAACAGATATGGCAAACATTTACATAATATCTCAACAAGTTAAAAATATTAATACTTAACATTTTTACTATAAATCAAACCAGTATCAACTATTTAAAATACCGTATTTCGGGCTGTATAAAATTTTTTTTTTTCTTTAAAAATTGGGTGCATCTTATACAACAGTGGAACCAGTAACAATGGAAATGCCGACGATGGTGTTGTGACAAATAAAACCAAGGGTGAAATACTGTCAATGATGCATGCACAGTGTATGTATTAACCCTTAGAATTCCAAGGCCTTTGCTCAACCGCTTCTTTAAAAAACAGAAATGTCTGATACTTTAGGGGGTACACAGATAAGGTCCAGCTAAAGTATGATAGGTTTGACAGTGATAAGTTGTATACTGAATAAATATTGATTTCAATAACTTTATGCAATATTTTTTTATATTAAATTGTAATGCAACAGGTTATAAAAACAAGTCCATGAACCAAATAATTCTTTATTTTTTCACTTTTTGGATCTCAAAATCAAGGTTAATTTTATACATGGGGAAATGTGGTATGCTTTATATTGGGGACAACCAAAAAAATTTAAGCTAGATATTAAACAGAAAAACAACCAGGCAGCTATCTCGAGTAATCATTTTATATCCAATTAAGTTATTTAAATATACTTATTATAAATTTATACAGCACTCTAAGCACCAATTTTATTTTTAATTGAGAAAAATCGATACATCAATCCTATTCAAAAGTTATGACACCCTTTTTTCAATGCTTAACTTACCATATTCTTTTTCGACTAGAACTGGTATACCTCCAAACTTTGGTACAAGCCTCAAACGCTCACGAGAAACATCATGGCAATATACTTTGACAAAACCAGCTTCAAGCAATAATGCACAACCATATAATCCCATCAAATTTGCACCCTAGAATACAATAATAATAATAAAAAAAAAAAATAAATGATCAACAAGTAAATAAGATCAAAAGAACATCATAAAACTAGTGTACTTCTATTTTTTCCAAATAACTTTACCAACTCAGTCCAAGTTAATGTAATAGTTTTCACTAACTCTTAATTTGAATTTTTCGATGTTTTATAAAACTCACTATTTAATGTATAATGTGCATAATATTTACTTTAATATTTTATAACTTGAGTGACAAGACTGGCATAGAATGAAAGAGGTGAAAATGTTGTAACTACAAGGAAAGTTACTTTGATTTTCCTTTTACTACAGTAGATGTAAATAATGATGAAGTACAACGATGACAGGTGTATGCATCCAAGTAAGCTAAAGGTTCATCCGCCCTTACTTGGTCGACAAATCTTGCATTTTTTTTAGTAGGAAGTTGCAAGACTTACAAAAGCAAGGCAGTGTGTTCATGAAACAAGCGTCATTTCTGAGTATCCCATAGCTAGCGTCTTTCAAGGTACCTCACAGAGTGATTAAGTGCAATAAATTGCGCACTATCGCAGAAGAGCTGCCATCAACATAGTTAATATTATGGTACAGAAACTAATTTCTAAGGTATGCAACAAGACTATTCGAACTTAACGTATGCTGTGTGGATCCATTGCATTATTTACTGGGAGCCTTTTGCACTGAAGTTGCTCAGTTGAGTATGACATTAGAATATGTCATTAATGTACAGAACTACATAAAAACTAAACCGCTGAAAGAATTTTTTTCTCAAAAACTTATGCAAGGATATGGAAGCCGAACACACAGCTATGCTATACTATTGAAGTTCATGATAGCTTGTGACAACGCCCAGTCTCGTTCCAGTTCTGCTGACACTAGCACATTAGGGAGGCATTTTTGACAAACTAAAGTTCTTCAATTTGTTACTGTAGGGCAATGTATGCACATCTTGAAATTTGTTGAAAAGATTTCAACATTTAAGAAAAAGCTGGATTTGTGAATAAATACACTGTACCAATACACAACCTGTAGTAAAGTTATCGTTCTATAGGAACTGCCATCCCTTTTCATGGAACACCTTCCAAAGCTCCCCAACTAGTTTGTAAAATATTATGCGAAAGATAATGTAGAGAAATTTATGTTGATCCAAGATCATTTTCATTTGCAAGAAGAAGAGAGTTTAATTAGAAGTTTTGGCTTTCAATCAAAATTTAGTATTTAACTTTAAGTTCTAAAGCTCTAAGAATCCTCATTCCCTTTGTGACATCCTATCTGTGCAAATCTTGGTTTTCAGCTGCTGCTCTAATAAGACCAAATATCGTTTAAAAATCAATGTGCGGCAAAAAATGAGAAAAGCTGTCTCAAGTCATCTTCCGCTATTTGAAAAACCGTACGGGCATCAAGAATCTCATCTGTGACAATTAGTTTCTAATTTGTTACTGAAAGTATCTTTAATTTGTATGTTTTCTGATCAATTAAAATTACTATAATATTTCACTAAAATATATTTATTTCTGTGTCTGATTATTGTTATGGTACAAAAGTTGCAACAGGGCGCCGTGAACAAAATAACCAAACTGTATAAGCATCGTGTGCTCAAAATGTTTGGGAACCCCTGTACTAAGTAATAATATGTACTGAAAAAATATAATAAAATTTCTCCTCTTTTTCTCTTTACATACTTATCCATCAGCACGAAAAAAATGTGCAATAAAAAAGTGCACAGAATATAAAAACTATATCTTGCAAGAATCCAAAATTTGTTTATTGGGAATCTGACCTGGCTATGTGCTATGTCATAGAAGGACTTTGCATAAATAATATAATTTTTCAACTTTATGTCAAGATAGCATAAGACCTGACTAATCATATAGAAGCAAACAAATTGAAGACCTAAATATGCATACATTACCATAAGCAGAAATCCAGCACTTAATTTTGTTATTTTTCCTTTTTGTCTTAAAAACACCACAGAGCTTATAATAAAACTTTCTGAAGTGTATCATTTTAAAATTTCTCTCTGACATATTTTTTTAATAATTCAAATGACACAAACATTCATATAACCATAAATCTAAAATCTATTCAATTAAATTATTTTAATGAAAGAAAACACACATTAAAAAAATTACTGCATATAATTTTACTGAGCAAAAAAGAAAACATTTAACATTAAAAAAAATATCATTAAATGCATACTTTACTTTTTAATATGTAATGCACTGGCTTAAGTATAAAATGAATTTTCGGTACTTTTCCGTTTCACCGGCGCAAATCTTGCTAAGCAGACTTTATTGGCGACAACATACAGTATACACATAAAAAATGTTAACAAATATTGATTTTAAGATTTTTTTATTTTAAAGGCATAAACATTTTAATATCGCTTAAAATTTTGTAAAAAGCCAATATATAAAGACAATAAATTTGTAAAAAGATATTAATTTAAAAATTTACTATGCTTTCGCGGTTCAACATCCTGATTCGCCGGTTCATATCATGTGATCCCATCTCACGTAAGCTATGCTACAAAAGTCCAATTCTCTCAGTAATTATCTACATTAATTTCAAGTTAAATCTTGATTTGGAATGCAAGTTTAAATGCAAGAATTATTTCAGTTCGTACAAATAGCTTACTCAGAAATTATGTAAAACTGCAGTGCTTTACTTCGCTAGTGCATTTTCATTAGAATGGATGAATTTAACCCTTGACTTTGCCTTTTCTATATTTTCGCCTTCGGGTAAGCACTGTGATTGCATCCTAATTGACTTAATTAATTACTGCGAATAGCCCTAGGGCATAAAGTTGAACTATCTGTTAAAAATTCTAATTGTATACCAGAATTGAAAGAAGCAGTCAATCTGATAAGAAATGGCTATGACTTGTTTTGAAAATGAGGCGTAAAAGGGTACCAGAGAGGATAATCCGTTTGGTATCAGTTGTACCATTATTGGCGACTTTATCGCCTGCGCCGGCAAAACGGAAAAGTACCAAATTTTCTGATAAAAAGCTTTCTGAAAACTATATCCACTTTTTTATTATGTACGACTTGGCATTAAAAATATGAATAATTTATCACTATCATTTTTAATTTTTACATCAGAAGTAAACATATTTACACAGTTTTATTTCAAGATACAATATAAAATGCCTTCACCATATTGATTATATATATAAAGCTACCTTAAATGCAATTTTTTTTTTTTTTTTTTTAACTTGTGAAACTTAGGATCATGGTAAATTCAGGTGACTATGGTAATTCAACATATAAATCTGTAAAATGAATAATTTGTTTTATATATTTTCACTTAAAAATTTCAAACTTGGAAAACAAGCAGTAACTTACTGATATTAAAAATTACTTTCCAAACAATAAGTAAAATTAGTATGTGGAATTCTTAAAAACATGCCAAGCAGTGGGTGATTCTGCACTTTCCCCACAAAATTTTACATAACAGCATTCAATTTTAAATGCAAAAATATTACCTGTATTACTGCAATAGACTGTTTTCTTTTTGAATTGATAGTAACAAAGCTGATGGCATGCACCATAGTAGAAAGTGCACAGTTAGCTGGACTAGCAACAATATTAGAAATATTTGATGGCACACGAACAACTTGCGTCCCTTTCTTTAAGATCATATGAGTAGCAAAGCATCCATTTAAACCCATGCCATCTTTTAATCCAATTGATCCATACTAGAAGGAATTAAATAATTTATCTAAACAATGTCAGAAATAATACAGATCGAATTTCTCCAAATATAAATTAATTACATAAAATGATTAACAGAATTTATTATCATATTACCTTGCTGTTGGATGAACAACATTCCTGCATATCTGATTTGCACATAAAACATTTTTCACAGCTATCGGATATAGTAAACACAATTCTGTCTCCAGCATAAACATCTGGTGTGCCATTACTAAACCTCTTGGAAAAAAGGACTTCTCCAACACCCTCATGACCTAAAACACTAATATAGAAATAAAAACTGTACAAAAAACATTTCATAAATATAATATCAGCAAAGGAAAATGAAGGTTTGCATTAGATTTTTAAAGTATGTAATTATAAGAATTATACCAGGGCGCTTTTACTTCATGTTTTCCATCTATACTTTCAATATCAGAAGAACAAATAGTTGATAACAATATCTTTATCAGTATCTCTCCTTCTTTTAAAAAATCTTTGGTAGGAATCGTACATGTTTCAACAACGTAGCTGGGCTGTTTGTGAGAACCGAAAAAAACAACTCTAACACCTGTTGCACCTGCCGCCATTGATACATTTACGCCACTTTGCCACAGTTAAGATAATACCAGTTTTTACATATATTATCTTTTTGAAAACAATAAAAATGCGTTATTAGCAGGATATATGGACCATATTAATTATTAGATTTAAACAACTATTTTTTTAGTTTTCCATCGTTTCATCATATTGCTGAAAAAAAGAAAAGAACAGAAAACTAAGTTTCAAAATTTCATATTATGTATATAGAGATATATGATGAATATTCGTACTATACGAAGAACGTAACAATATTTAAATAAAGTATTTAATTACGAACAATACAATAACAGTTAAGTATCTGGCATTAATGTTTATTTAAATGCCTGAGTAATCACATGATAAGCAAGCTTCCAATCGATCTGCTTATCAGCTGTAGGCGGTGATTTCATCTTCGTTTAAAAAGTATATATTTTATTAATCGTACTACGCTCATATTTGTGGAATATTATAAAGAAATTTTCGAAATGGCCTGCGATAACTTGTCAGCAGTATTAAACAATGGTGAACTTATTCTGGTAAGAGTAAATTTGGTTACGAATATAATATTTTGTTTTTTGTGTTTGACACCTCATTGCAGAATATAAAACTAGTGGGTGTGAAACTTTAGATTGGCATAACTTTTATATAACAGGAAAATTATATTGCAGATTTGAGAAGAGAATTCTACATCAGTTGACCTCACAGTTGATAGTTCTATATAAAATCTGCAGCGATCTCGTTTTGGGAATACTTTTATATATCGTACTATTGTAGTTTCTTTTTTCTTCCGCCACTGTAAAATTTCTTTAATAGTATTAAAAAAATTGCCAATATTAATTAAATACTATTAAGTTTTAATATGACGATTATAAAAATTTGTTGTAATGCTCATCATTTGGGCTAAAGTGGAGAATCCCCGACTTTTTTATTTGGCGCTTTTTACAAAAGTAAGAAGAATTGGATTTTTGTCAATTTCCTTTGACTTTTTAAGTGAAAATAGGTCGATGTGTACATGGATAAAGTCAAGGCAGTGCGCAATGCCATTTTTGTGCAATTCTGGGATTTTTTTTTAAGTGAAAATAGGTCAATGTGCACATGGATACTGAGTTAGTGCAATTCTTAAAAACGTGCCAAGCAGTGGGCGATTGCACTTTTCCCATCCTTTGTACTGTAATATAGTGCATATATAATAAAATTTCCATTTTGTTTAATTGAATAGCTTTTGATGTTTTGAAAACCATAAAATTAAACACTGAGGTTTACATACAGTACTTAAAAATCCATTTGTGAAATACAAATGAGATATAAAAAATTGGTTACAGGTAAAATCAATATGTACCTCAAGAAAGAAGAAATAGTCAGTGGTAGTCCTTCGAAAATGAAGTAACGTAACGGCTCTAGTGTAGAATTGGGTGCCCCTTTGATTAGCGACAAATTTTGGTGATGAAACCCCATTTTTGGTTATCATGATAGTTTTAACTTTGTTTTTAGCATCGTGATTTTTTTAAAGGGAAAATAGATTGGACAAAGCTAAGGCAGTGTGCAATGCTTAGTTTGTGCAATTCTCTGTTTTTTTTTTAGTGATAATAGATCAGTGGGTACATGGACTCCGAGTTTGTGCAATTCGCCTTGTTATTTTGGTTTTGTGTAGCGGCCATCTTGAAATTGTGCCTTCCTGGTGCCGATCTTGGAGTAAAAAAAGAATCGCCAGAAAGACAAGGGGCACCCAATTGTAAACTTTTACCGGGTTTTCATCCGCAGAGAACCCATTGGCACCATTGCAGTTTTACTCGCCAAGCTCGATGAGCCCAGCCGTAAGCGTGATATTTTGTAAACGTGGTTTTTAGTGATGTAAATTTAAGTTAGCAGACGATGGTAGTAAAAATTCACAGGTAATAAGTATGTAGATGTAACAGGTTAAACGTAATATACGAAAATAAATTTGTATTAAATTCAAGTTAGCACAGAAAAAAGTGTATTAAACTTAACGGGAAGTAAAAATTCATTTAAAAATTAACAATTAGTATTCTTATACTTACGTTTACAATATACTTATATGCATTTTCTGTAATTCATATAGAATACTAATATTTCTATTACACGTGTCTTTTTTCACTATTAAGTACTTTGCCTGTTGATTGATGTATTTCGGTAAGAGCCATGCCCATGTAATAAATTAATGAATGCATGACCTTTAATACATCCATTTTACATAGTTTTAAGTATTTTTTTTTTCAAGTTACTTGCATACAGCTTAAAGCATTTTACATTGAAAAAAATACCTATCCTTTTTCATAATATATTTCACAATACAAATAACCTTCAACAGTAATCAAATTTTCTTCAGTAGCATTTTTAATAAAACTAGAACTTTATACATTTTAAAATTATTATAGGGATTGGAAACCTCGTGGTTCTGTGTGCTTACAGCTGTTAATAATTAAGAATAAGGTGAACAGCCATGTTACAAATTAGCATTCACCCTCCCGCCATAATTTCTTCCTTTGATCCCGAACTGACGACCCGAGAACCAGCATCTTTCGACAAAAACTTCTTTAATTATGCGAAAATATTTATATCTATTCATTGTTAAAAAATTCAGAAAAAATAATAATAAATAAGAGAAAAATAATATAAATCTCCAAATGCAAACAACGACAACCTTCGCATAAGCGAATAGGACGAATTAGCTAGGTTACCAGGTTTAAACTATTATCGCCAAAGTTGGCGATGTTTACATTTACCGGCTTCTCTCCGGAAGTGTTTCCCTTTTACCAACTAATGAAAATAAATTAAACAATAAATGAATAGGAAAATTATTAAAGAAGTATAAAAAGTCTCCTATAGGTAAAATTAACAAATGACCGAGATTAATCTGAATAGTTTATGACTGAAGTGTCAAGGATTTTTAAATGATACTGACTGAATGTCTAATTAATTTCATGCTAAATAAATCATCTCTAGTACAAAGGACAAATGTCAATGATAAATAAAATTTGATCTTCAGGAAGAAGTGGGCTCTACCAGTAGTTGAGCAGTTAAAAGTTGCTGAACAATGGTAATTCGGTCCGGAGTTCAAATCCAGATGAACAGGCTGGCTGCATGCATATTTTCATAGTATTCTGCATGTATCAGAGCCAGTTTCCTGTTGAAAGTTCTCCAAGAAGGCATCCCTTCCCTTAGGCAGTTAGCCCTCAAGTGTTTTGCCATAATCAAATTACTGTAAAGGCCCTTATTTTTGCGAGGCTTTAATTTACGCGAGCCCGTTGTAATCGCGAAAATTTAAGCCTCATGAAATACTTTTTTTTCCTGCCTGAAATAATAATAAAAATTCAGAAATTTTTCACTTACCCAAAATTTAATGATTTATTGCACAGTTACAAGCTTTTTTTTGACAACTTTCTTTCTTATAACTATCTTTTGAATAATATACAACTATATTTCTTAAATATAAAAACAATAAAATTAATAGAAGGCAGCTCATTCACTTAGAATACTATTTATATCATCTTCTTTGAAGCCATTCAAAATTATCTCGTGTTTGGCTTCAATACCGTTAAATACGCGCACAAGCCAAGAAGTGTGAATCAGTTTTAGTTGTGATATTCGCAAGTCCACAGATTCTTTTTCCTCTAGAAATTGGAAGATCTTTAAAATACCACTCCATAAACTCGTTCTTGAGCAAATGCTTGAACTCGCCATTTAGACGGGAACGGTGGGGACGAACTTTTCAGACAAAAGGAAGTTTCTTAAGATGCTTTATGCAAAAGATGTACTTATGTAATTTTTCAACTTTCGGTTCTGTTCATATAAAATTCACAAAATTTTCAACTCGTGAAATCTCCGATACATTTGTTTTATCGAAAATTACGGCCCGCAAAAATAAGGGCCTTTACAGTAATCAAGCCAACCAAATAGAAGTGGTACTAAAATAAACAGGTAATAATGGTAAAAGAATATTTAATAGTATTAAAAGTAATTCTAAATACTTATGTTATGAATTTTTATGAGCACATAACATCTGACGAGGAGTTTCTAACAAAAATATTATGTAATGAAAAATACGTAAGAGTGGAACAGAAACAAGAATCCCAGACATCACATCTTGAGGGCAAAAACACTGCAAATAATTACGCTTTTCCATATCTTGAATCAGTAATGCACAATTTCCTTTCATTCCTTCATGTTAACTTTTATCTATCATACAGACTTGTAAAATGCAATGTAGATTTCTAATCGCTGAAATTAATGTTTCATAAAGTGTCCAGGATGTGGGCATTTGCAGGAAATATTTTAGGAGGAACCGAGACTAAATAATTGCACCAAAAAATTTTTATTTAATTTTTTTAATTAGAGATACACGAGTAGATTATATAATACAAAATTGTTGCATCTATAAAAGAAAATCTGCTATGACCAGCGCATGACTCATGTTATGCTGAATTAGGGCTACAGCAATGAGCTTTAAAACTTCCTATTCGAGTTGATTGTTTGTAAATAAAATCTAATTTGTTTGTAAATTTCATGGTTTGATGTTAATTACGAACATCACTCAATCTTTGTTATTCTATTTTATCATACAGTCGATAATGATTACTATGTGTTCAAGCGAACATCTGTTCTCATGCTTTGATTTGAAAATATTGCATTAATTATATATCGTATATCCTCTGATCATTTAGAGTTTTGGATTAACAAATCAATGACTCAACAATCACAAAATTTTTAAAAGCAGTATATTTGTAGAATTCCTGATAATGTTGTCTTAATTTATTTTATATTCACTGTCATTTTTTTAAATAATTCATACTGATAACATTTGGTTCCAACATCCATTTATTTGAAATGGATTTGACACCAAAGGGAAACAAATGTAAAATAGAGGACTTAGGGTAATATATTTTCACATTTTTCAAAGACATAACAGCAGTGCCAACCTTCAAGGTGATAGGACATGTTATCTTTGTGCATCTGAGAAAACCTATTCCTTTGATTCTCCGAGTAAGAAGACATTTATCCTATTGCCTACATTCTTATGTTCTCTGTTAAGCTAGCATGCCTTTGATTTATTTGCAGTTTTTGGTAAAAAAAATGAACATGCAGAATGTAACATGTTAATTATTGCAGAATGTCAAACACAGAAAGGACTGTGATATATACTCTGCTATTAAAGAATATGCTTGATGAGTAACCATGAAATTAAATCGGACATAAATAATGATGAGTAACCGAAATACTTATTAGTGAAAGACAAGTAGGACAAAACAGACTTTGTTAACTTAGGGTGGTTTTTATAAGGACCTTTATGGGTTATTGAGTTCAAATCTGTAAGCATATATGTGAATATATAAGTACAATTCAGGATGATTCTGGTATAGTGTGCTTATTTGACAGACAAGGCATGCATCTTAACAAGTTAAAAAAGAATATCGACATCATGAAAGACACATAGCCAATCTTGGAACTACTCTTGTACGTGCCCTTGGTTGGTGACAAATTTCTTGCCAAACAATTTTGGTGAGAAACTCCACGGTGT